TGTGCAAGAACATCATTGCTTGTTCATGTACGGGATTTTCTCACTTGTATGTGAACGGCAATTACGGTTCCCGGGAGTGCTTTCCTTAAATGCGCGATGAAGGTAATTGCGTGTGATAACCATTTGCGGAATGAAGGTTTCTTTTCGGTTTCTTTTCGGAATTTGTCATTTCAGGATTATTATCGCTTTGTGGGCCACGTGTGATAAGGTCCTAAGCCATGCACACACACACTCATTTTCTTCTCCCTTTTCAAATAAAGGCAAACAAACAACAACAGGCACCTCAAATTGTACCTGGAAACCAACTAGAGGCCAGGGAAATTGTCCAAAAACTACTGTAATCATACTTACATAGTACAGCCTCCTCACATTTTGGACATGCTGTACCTTCCCGAATCCTCTTCAAAACACCACTGAATGTTGTTTTAATACTGTGCATGGTTTAATCCCATTTTAATGTTCTCATTTTGTATGTGGGTGGGTGGGGTTTTTTTAGCTGTATTCCTCTTGTTTTAAATTGTAAGACGTTTTGAATCTGACTGGGGAAAAAGTTGGTAACAACAATAATAGGGTGGCCTCAGTGAGATTCAGATTGGGAACTTCTCTTGGCTACTGTGCTGCCTCAGTACAGGAAAGGGAGCTGAAGAAAACTGAAATTAACAACTGGAGAGTGAATGGTGTAGGATTTTTCTTAAACTTACCTAAGGTATTAATTTGTCCTTCTTTCATTATTTCACCTTTTCCAAAAATCACAGTTCAAAACTGGAATACCTTAGTGCAAGACTGCCCCCTACTGGGCTTCCTCTGTTAATGCGCGTACACACACACACACACACACACACACACAGACAGAGCTTATATTTCAACCCTTAGGGTGCAAAGTGAAAGAATTTCTAGCCAAAGAATGTACCCCAGAAACACTTTAGACAAACAGGAAGGTTGTTAAAGCTAAAGAAATCAAACTTCAGCAACCACATCATATTTACTCTAGAATGGGCCACTTATGGACTTCCAAATAACCATTACTTCAGTTTCCATCATCCCCAATGAAACTTGCCAGTGCTGGGGATGGTAGGAGCTGAAGTCCACCTGTGTGCCTATAAGTTATTTTGGATGTATGGTAACGCTAAGGCAAACCTATCACAGATTTTCTTGGCAAGATTTGTTCAGAGGTGGCTTGCCTTTGCCTTCCTCTGAGGCTGAGAGAGTGTGACTTGCCCAAAGTCACCCAGTGGATTTCCATGACTAGGCAGGGAATCAAACCCTGGTCTCCAGAGTTGTAATCTAACACTCAAACCACTGTGCCACTCAAGGAGAATGTGTAGTTTAGTGTGTAGTGTGTAATATATATTATTTTAAATGAATTATAATTTTTTTAAACTTTTAAAATTGTTTGTGAAATAAATGTTTTGCTTTTACTGAAGTTTTTGTATAATTTTTAATCTATATTGTGTTCAAATATATTCTTAGGCACCTTGGAGAAATGTGGGATATAAATGAATAAAATTAATAAATTAAATATTAGGTTTTTAGGTATACTATTCTGTGTTGTGAGCTGCCTTGTATCCTGTGGCAGCAGAAAGGTGGGATATGAATTAAATATGTGATTTAAATATATGAGGTGGGATTTGAATTCAGACCTCACCATCTCCCTTTTCAAAAACTTCCAGAAGTACCCACATGGCCAGGAGGAGAGTCCTGCCTGCATGAATGTCCAGCAACACCTGAACTGAGAAAAGCAACATCATCATAATTTTCCCCCTTCTGTATGATTTTTAATACCTTTGCCTGATGAAGAAGCCAGTGGAGCTTTGAAAGCTTTCAACATGTATTTTGTGCATTTTGTTTGACTAATAAAGGTATCCCTGGATGTAGAGAGATCTTGTAGCACCTTTGAGACTAAATGAAAGAAAGAAGTTGGCAGCATGAACTTTCGTAGACTTAAGTCTACTTCCTCAGATGCATTTGGGGAAGTAAACTTAATGCATCTGAAGTAGACTTAAGTCTACAAAAGTTCATGCTGCCAACTTCTTTCCTTCATTTCAAAGGAGCTACAAGATCTCTCTATATACTGATTCTTCAGACTAATACGGCTATATCTTTGAATTCCATCATGGATTTTGGATGTTATTGTACATCTCTCAAATTGTGGCTTATTTTATACCTTTCTTTCTGTTCCCCTTCCCACACACATACACACAAATAACAGTCCTCAAGGTAGCTAACAACATTTTTAAAAAAATTAAAAATGAGATGCCAATAACACATCTAATAATTGTTAGATGTAATAATAATACATCTAACAATAATAAAACAATAAAAATGAGATGCCAATAGCACCATGACCAAACCTCAAATGAAAACAGAGAAGTGCAGTTAGACAACAGCGCCATGGGGAAAAAAATATTTAGCACCATTAAGTGTAACTGTCTCTCCTTTTTAAAACAAAACAAAACAAAACAAGAGTTTTTTAAAAATCCAAAACACTGCCTCTGCCACCACCTCCCAAAGCAAGCCCCCTGTCAAAATGCTCTTTTAATGCCTCACACCCCCCATCCCTTTCGAGGTGGGTACCTTTTTTTCCGCCAGCCACTGTTTGAAGGCTTGCCACTCACTTGCTGTCAGGCCTGTCAGTCGAGAGGCGTTCTGGCCTGGCGTGAGGCCAGCGTTGCAATTCAAAGTGGATTAACTCCTTGAGTGGCTTTGCTGAGCATCCCTTTCCACACACACAACCTATACACACCTTCTCTCCCCTCCACGCTCTGCTTTTGCTCCTCACTTGGTTGGGTTTCAGCCAAACACAGTTCACTCTTCCAGTCCATTGTCCGTATCCAAGAGGGCCTGAGCCGTCTCACATCAGTTCCCCAAAAAGATGAAAAGGACAGCAGGAGGAGATGGGCTGGAACTCAACTGGAAAGAAGTTTTGGAGAAAACATTAACTTTGCTATATGGCCCGCAGGGCTTTGTTGTTGCTGTGCGCCTTCAAATTGCTTCCGACTTATGGTGACCCTAAGGCAAACCTACTATGGAGTTTTCTTGGCAGGTTTCTTCAGAGGAGCTTGCAATTGCCATCCTCTGAGGCTGAGAGAGTGTGATTTGCCCTAGCACATGACTAGGGACGTTATCACACGGGGAGTTGCGGGGAGAAAGTGGAAATAAACGGGACGAGCAGAAGACTTTAATTTACAGGATTTGTCCCGTTCCGCCTCGTCTGATAACTAAATTCGAATTTAAAAGGGGGTTAATTCGAACAAAAACCTGATCTTTTCAAATCCTCAAAAATCCCGAAAATGAAAAGATCAGGTTTGCGTTCAAATTAGCCCCCTTTAAATTCGAATTTAGTTATCAGACGAGGCGGAACGGGACAAATCCCGTAAATTAAAGACTTCCACTTGTGCCCATTTATTTCCACTTTCTCCCCGTGACTCCCCGTGTGGTAACATCCTAAGCTAGGATTCGAACCCTGGTCTCCAGAGTCACAGTCTAACACTCAAGCCATTACACCACACGGCTACCCCTGAACATATTCCACATCTTTCAGGAATGCAAAGGTTTGGGTCTCTCCCAGCGTTCCCCACAACCAAATTGCCCTAGGTTGGAAATAAAATGTTAACAAATGATGCAGAATTTATCATCAGTCACCTTTTTAACAATAATGAAGGTATAAATTGGCAATGGTAATTATAAGAATTCACCTAGGGAGACTTTCACTTCTATTATGGTGACTTCTAATTACTTTTCTAGTTAGAGGGATGTGGCTTTACAAAATGGGGGAAATGTTATTCTTTATTATCGAGAGCTAGTGTGTAGAGATTTGAGTGTTGGATTAGGACTCTGGAGGCCAGGGTTCAAATTCCAGCTCAGCCATTGAAAACCACTGGGTGACCTTGGGCAAGCCATACTCTCTCAGCCTCCCAGTCCAACAGTCAAACCACTAAGAAAGCCATTTATTCCAGATTTTTACTAATCCATGCTCTGGCTGTGCCTTTTTTAAGATGGATAGTAGAAAACTCAGGATGGGCAGAAGGAGGCATTTGCAAAGAAACATGGGAGTTGTAGTCCAAAGCATCTAGAAAAACCCCAATCCTGTTCTTTTTTGTAGCTGGCTGTTTTTTCACCAGGGGATAAAATTGCCTTCCAATTTGGTTTGTCAGTATCATCTTTAAGAGAGCATTAGTGATGGCAGAAAAGCATGGAATACATTTGCTGACTTTTATTCAGTTCAGGATAAAATAGATTCAGTAGAAAGGTAAACCAAGGAATTTTTAACAAAAGGATAATTACAATTACTGTATAATGATAGTCTAAATGGCCCCAAGCACTCCAAAGTAACTATATCAAAAGTAATATTTTAGGAGTAAATAATAAGAGAGCTAGTGTGGTGTAGCGGTTTGAGCATTGGACTGTGACTCTGTAGACCAGGGTTCAAATCCAGGCTCAGCCGTGGAAACTCACTGAATCATCTTGGGCAAGTCACACTCTCTCAGCCTCAGAGGATGGCAACAGTGGCAAACTGCTGAATAAATCTTGCCAGGAAAATCCTATGAGAGATAATGTGGTGGTTTAAGCATTGAACTATGACTCAAGAGAAAGGTTTCTTCAGGTTTGCCACCATGGCTTTCCTCAGAGTCTGAGAGAGTGTGACTTGCCCAGGTAACCCAGCGGGTTGCCATGGCTGAGGATGGATTCAAAGTCTAGTCTTGCAGAGTCCTGCTCCAACATTCAAACTACAGAACACTTTGTTGGTGTTGCTCTGTGCCTTCAAGTCGTTTCCAACTTATGGTGAGCCTATATCATGGGGTTTCCTTGGCAAGATTTGTTCAGAGGGAGTTCAGTGTTCAGTGACCTTGGGCAAGTCACATTCTCTCAGCCTCAGGGGAAAGGAAAGGCAAACTTCCTCTGAACAAATCTTGCCAAGGAATCCCCATGATATAGGGTCACCATAAATTGGAAACAACTTGAAGGCACACAACAAAATGGAAGGAACACCCACCATGTGCAGGGTGACCCACCATCCTCCTTTTCCAGGACATGTCCTACATTTCAACCTTCTTGTCCAGGAGGAATTCCAAAATGTAGGGCATGTCCTGAAAAGGAGAGAGCCTACTCATCCTGCGCATGGAGGATACTCCTTACATTTTGTTTTTGTTGTTGTGTGCCTTCAAGTTGTTTCTAACCCAAAGGTGTCAGGAGGGTGCTGTGTGTGTATCAGTGTTTTGTTTATTTATATCCCATCTTTCTTCCACAATTAGAAGAATTTTTTCAAAGTGGTTTACCAAAAAAAAAAAAATTGTTGAAACCTGTGATACAATTTTCTTTTAAAAAGCATAGAAAGTGTTTTTAGCTCCTGTTTGGCCAAAGCCTACATTTTTCTTTAACATTTGACCTTTTGCGGTGCCCTGTCCCATTATCCACAGCTGTCAGGAAAGCAGAGCCAGTGATGTGAGGCTGAAGCCTCCCAGGGACTGTAAGGCATTGCTATGTGTGTATTAGTGTTTGTTTATTTGATTTATGTCCTTCCTTTCTTCCAAAACTTCCGGTGTATGGGGAAGAATTCCCATTGCATCTGGCATGTGAAGATGCATTACAGCTCTCCTTTCTCTCACACACACAAACACACAATTACTTACTTTCTCTGACAGTTGCAGCCCTTGCCCTGGACCAGAGATCCGCCATCTCTTCATTCAGATCCTAAAGGAGATCCAGTGATCCTGGGGTCCTTCTGCATATCCTCTGGTTTTCCCTATTTGGTAGAGACAGTCCTGATTAATCCTCTGCCTTCCCTCTTTTTAGCTGCTTTCAAAATGTCCCAGCTTCTCTCTTTTCCTTCTCCCGCTTTTGTCCTCAGTTTCCATTTATTGCTGCAAACTAATTCAAAGTGCAAAATTGAGTTTGTATGCAAGGAACTCAGAAGTTAATTGAGGAGGGGTGGAATCTTGTCCTTCCCAGTTGTCTCAGGCAAAGGCAAACTGCTGTGGCCTCTCCTAGCTTGTGCCCTTCTTCATTAAATAGTTTTTGGATCTATAGTTGCTTAATCCTATTTTCAGCTATGAGAAAGGCAAGGGGGGGTATATGTGTGAAAGAGAAAGAGAAAGACCAAGTTGTATGTGTTTGAGTGAGTAGGGAGCA